TAATTTGTACCAAAATTTACTAAAAAAAAATCTATGAAAATATGAGAGACGACAGGTGACTTAATATTCTATATAGAAGTTGGGCAGGAAATATCTGAGAATTGAACCTTGCTTTCAAATTAGGCATCCAAAGTCAAGCGTAAATTCGAGACTTATTTGAAGGTTTCACCAACTACAAGTGGGACCCACATAAAATTCATCATTCGTGATTGATTCCGCTGGCCAGACGATGATGCATCCCCCCAATTAATTTGGATCATTTGATTAATTAAACTTTTTAAACCTTTTTTCGACTGATTATAACAGGATTAAAGATTCTTAAATCAAATGGTCAATTTGGGTTATTTGATTTTTTTGAGCTTCCGATTATGTGATTAATTACACTTTTTAACTCCTTTTGACTAATTAAAACAATATTAAATATCCTTAAATCAAATGGCTAATGTCAATAATATCATTAATTACACTTTTTAACTCTCTTTTGACTAATTAAAATAAGATTAAATTTGAAAAAAAAAATCATATTTAAGTGATTAAGTATTACCTATTTTAAAATTAAGAGACAAGGTTTAAAACTTCAAAAATAGATAATAATTAAATTTTATTTATGAAACAATTAATTAAATATAATAAGGTCACATTTTTATACTATTTAGTTGCAAATTATCGAATCAATTGATCACAAATTATTTCTCAATCGTAAATCAAAAAATTTATATATCACAAATTATTTCATGACCATAAATAAAAAAATTTGTAAGTCACAATTTATTCATCGGTTACAAATCAAAAAATTTATATATCACAATTTATTTATCAATCAAAAATAACAAATTTTATAAGCTACTACTCAAATTTTTAGGTCACATTATTTACTGGTCACAAGTTATCAGTCACATATTATTTATTGATCACAAAATATCTAATTTATTGATCATAATCTCAAATAATTTATCACAAACACTCTTAATCGAAAGCAGCGCCACCCTAACACCTAAGCTAGCCCCCACCACCTAAGTTATGTTACAAAATTGGTTGACAAAATAA